CTGGAGGTGCTGCTGGTGCTGCTGGAGGTGCTGCTGCTGCCGCTGGAGTGGGGGACCCGGAGGGTGGAGCTTCTGCTGGTGCTGAGGACCCTGCCGCTGGTGTCTCTACTGGTTCGGGAGTTGCTGCACGGCCACGGCCGTACTTCGTTCCGCTCCTTCAGCAGGTTCTTGGTCAGACTCCTCCTCCTTGTCCTCCTCTCGCCTTAGAGTGTCCGCCGTCTGTCCAGTCACAGCCACAGTTACCGCCTGCCTCCCCACTCTCTGTACCTACTCCTTACACTGGTCCGACTGGAGGTCTTGCTGAGAGACGTGAGCCTGCGTCACGTCCTGTGTCACCTGCATCTCGTCGAGCGTCGCCTGGTCGTGCTACTACCACTGGTAGTCGTGTCCAGCGTCAGCGTCCTCCTGCTGTTCCTGGCACTCACCAGATGGCGCTTCGTCAGTCCACTGCTCCACAGCGTGTCGCTCTCTCGTCGCCTCCTACGTCCTCTCTTCCTGCTCTTGCTGACCCGGAGTCAGACACCCTTCGTGCTGCTAGTCCTACTGTCGCACGTCTCCTGGCTACAGTTGTCACTGACCCTTCCTTTGAGTCCGCTGCTGCGTCTGCCTTAGTCACTGAGCTTGTCGACTTTGCAGCTGCGTGCCGTCTAGACTACGCTGCGAGTCTTGTTGCTGAGTCTGAGTCTGTCTGTCCTCCGTCCGTCGGGGGTGAGTGTGCTCTTGGCACGTACGTTCTTGAGGACAGACAGGAGGAGTTTAGTTGCCTTGCCGCTGCTTTGCCCCATCTCGTGTCCATGCTTGTTGCCCCTGAGGGAGACCCGGATGCACCAAACATCCCGACCCCACGCTCTTACGCAGAGGCGATGGCCGGTCCCTACTCCTCTCAGTGGCAGTCAGCCATGGACACAGAGATGGCTTCCTGGAAGTCCACTGGCACCTACGTCGACGAGGTTCCCCCACCTGGGGCGAACATCGTCAGTGGCATGTGGATTTTCAGGGTGAAGCGGCCGCCGGGCTCTCCGCCTGTCTTCAAGGCGCGTTACGTTGCATGAGGCTTCAGTCAGCGAGAGGGAGTTGACTTCTTCCAGACCTTCTCCCCGACCCCGAAGATGACCACTCTTCGGGTTCTGCTACACGTCGCCGCTCAGCGTGACTACGAGCTCCACTCTCTTGACTTCAGCACAGCTTTCTTGCAGGGCAGCCTGCACGAGGAGATCTGGCTACGCCGCCCACCTGGCTTCACTGGGTCGTTCCCTCCTGGTACCCAGTGGAGCCTCAGGCGACCAGTCTACGGTCTTCGCCAGGCGCCACGTGAGTGGCACGACACACTGAGGACTACACTTGCGGCTCTTGGGTTCGCTCCTTCTACTGCTGACCCGTCGCTGTTTCTACGCACCGACACCTCACTGCCGCCGTTCTACATCCTCGTGTACGTCGACGACTTGGTCTTTGCCACTTCTGACAAAGCTGGTTTCGCTCACGTGAAGTCCGAACTGCAGAAGCGACACACGTGCACAGACCTCGGTGAACTGACAAGCTATCTTGGCTTGCGGATCACCCGGGACAGAGCACGGCGCACCATCACCTTGACTCAGTCACACATGGTGCAGCAGGTCCTTCAGCGCTTCGGCTTCACGTACTCCTCGCCTCAGTCCACTCCTCTGCCTACGGGACACTCGCTCTCAGCTCTGCCTTCGGATGAGTCCGTAGAGCCGAGTGGTCCGTATCCAGAGCTTGTGGGCTGCCTCATGTACCTGATGACTTGCACTCGACCTGACCTTGCATACCCTCTCAGCATCTTAGCACGCTATGTCGCTCCCGGCCGTCACCGGAAGGAGCACATGGATGCAGCTAAGAGGGTGTTGCGCTACTTGTGCAGTACGTCGGGCATGGGGCTAGTGCTTGGAGGGCGAGACCGGCCTGTTCTCACTGGGCACTCAGACGCTTCTTGGGCAGACGACCAGGCTACTCAGCGGTCGTCTCAGGGTTACACCTTCAGTCTTGGCTCTGGCTCTGTCTCTTGGCGTTCTACTCGTTCCTCTTCTGTTCTCGGCTCCAGCTGTGAGGCTGAGATCTACGCCACGGCCATGGCTGCCCAGGAGCTTCGCTGGCTCACCTACCTGCTGACTGACCTTGGAGAGCAGCCTCGTTCTCCTCCAGTGCTGTACGTCGACAACAAGGCAACCATAGCCTTGTGTCAGGAGCACAGACTGGAGCACAGGACGAAGCACATTGCTCTGCGTTACTTTCTAGCTCGAGAGCTACAGCAGCGTGGTCAGCTTCTTCTGCGTTACGTGGCCACTGAGGCCAACACTGCTGATGTGTTCACCAAGGCGCTTCCGCCTGTTGACCATCAGCGTTTTTGCACTCTTCTAGGCCTTGTGCCGACTGTTCCTCACTTGCTCACTTCTTGACCTTGCCTGTACTGTGATCATTATATATATACCTGCATGTTTTCCCTTGCTAGGTTGTGATCATTGTACCTCTTGCTCTGTTATAAAACTGCATGTGAACTGGTCTTGTGACCGCTTACTTGTGCTCGGAATTTGTGTGGAATCCTCGAGATCCACCCTGAGCTTGTTTGCCTTGCTTTGCCTTGACTGGTCTTGTGACCCCTAGGTCTCCCCCACTTTGCCTATGGGGGTGTGTCAAACATTATATGTTTGTGTGTTTCTAGGCTGTAGTGTGTCACACCAGAGGGGGTACACCAGTTTAGGGTTTCATATTTGTACTGTTGTTCTTGCTAGTCACACACATTCCTGTTTCTCATTCTGACACGTTGGACCCTAGCTGCACCGACTGTACACCTATCCGCATGCTCCAAATGAGCTGTCGTGACCCTGAGGTTATCACAAACAGGCCCTCGAACGATGATACGAAAAGGGCATAGCCCGGCGTCACTACTCACCTCACGTTTGGGCCAACCCTTCCCCTGCATACTCTTGCATCGCACCTCAATGAGATTGCTACGATTGTAATGAAAGTACGAAGATACCATCTGTTGCCGACAGTACATCCACACATCTGCCCTCACCGCGTCTGCAGTAGAATAGACTTTCCCTAGGTGGATGTTGACTGCATCATTCTCCTGCATCTCAAAGATACTGGGGTGGCAAAAGAATGAGAGGAGAGACATACACAAAACACCTCGAGTGCATAAGTTGTAGTATTGGTGTTGCTAGCATACGCTGGAACACAACAAAATAACACAAGATGTGATAACTATTGCGTTGGGAAACGGGTTCGTACCTGGAACGCAGTAGGCGAAACATGATGCCAGAGGCTGGACCCTGGCCCTGCAAGAGGGGAGATAGGGAATTATGCAGCAGAGAGAGGAAGGAGGGGGGGGGGGGGGGGGGGGGGGGGGGGGGGGAATCGGAGTAGGACGGGATACTAGTGTGAGAGAGTGTGGGGAGGGTAATGCAAGTGCACACCGAGACAATCATGACTAGTGCGCAGAAGATGGAGAGGGCAGGGTAGATAGAATTTTTGGGTTTGAGAAATAGCGGGAGGGGATGAGAGAGCGAACTCGCCCAGCGGTCTCGCGTTGCGCGTAGGGTTACGCAACAAAGAGAGGTAGGGCAGGGGAAATTCGAGTAGGGTGCGAACAAGTGTGTCCGTGCAGCAGAGAGAGGGAGAGTGGGGATGAAAATGCAGGTAGGTAGCAGAGACAATCATGACGGTTATGCAGCAGAGAATGGCAGGGCCCCAAAATCAGAGTAGGGTGCGAGACAAGCGTGAGGGAGTGGAAAGGGAGAGAGTGAATCGATAGGTTTTTGGAAAATGGCAACGAGGCAATCGTGAGGGTTACGCCACAAAGAGAGAGAGAGAGAGAGAGAGAGAGAGAGAGAGAGAGAGAGAGAGAGAGAGAGAGAGAGAGAGAGAGAGAGAGAGAGAGAGGGAGGGTACCTGGAAACTAGTTGCGGTAGAGCGACTCCACCAGGTTCCTGTTGACGTTGGGGTTGCCCCGCCGCACGTGGCTCAGAATGCACATGAACAGCACCGCCAGGCGCTGTGCGCTGTGATTCGGAGGGTGGTGGAGGGGTAGGGGAAAGAGATGGAACAGGGGTAGGGGTATGGGAGCGAGGACAGGAACGAGGATGAGAGGTGGGACAGGGGTTATGACAATGAAGGGCATACGAGGGGATGAAAGGGTAAGTGACAGGGGATGAGGGTGAAGAACAGGGGAGAAGACAGCGTCTGATAGGGAGCGAGCATTCCGCAAGCGCATAGCGCTGGCCGCAAGAGAGGCGCAAGAGATAGAGGAAAGGGCGGACCAGGAGTGGAGGGTATGGGCTGCATATAGAGAATCAGATGAGGGAACGGGTTCAGGGAGTGATTGGGATCAGGAGATGGAAGGGGACAGGGAGCAGCGGAGGGGGTTGAGTGCGGTTGAGATGGAGGATGGGGAGGAAGGCGAGGAGAGGAAGCGGAGTGAGGAGAGCAAGAGGGTGGGGTTGATGGGGGGCCTTAGTGGCCGATTAGGTTCAGGTTTGATGGGCCGAAGGGGGTCTGGTATGGTGGTGGATGTTGGTAGGCCTAATGATGAAGCAGAGGAGGATGAGGAGGAGGGAGATGGTGAGTGTAGCGAGCATAGTGACGATCATAGTGAGCAGCGGGAGAATGAGGAGTGATCAGGTTCAGACAGGGGCTTGGCAGTGACCGTGGTTCGGCGGGAGTTTTGGCTCCAGAGCTTACACCCCAGAGGAGCTGGAGGGGTGATGACGTCACCCTTCTGGGCAGTTTCAGGGGTGATGATGCGTTAACTCCCCTGGGCAGATGGGGGGGCGAAGGGGAACTTACCACGGTTTGGAGGGGTGAAGGGGAGATTACCCCCCAGGGAAGCGGGGACTGGGGAGAAGAGGCAGAGAGGGAGAGGGAGGAAGAGGGGGAGGGGGTTTGGACACCTCTGCTAACCCCTCAGGGCAGTTGGAGGGGGGACATGTCAGGGAGCGAGAAAGGGAAGGGTCGGAAGGGGAAGGGTCTGTAATTGAGTTGCATCAGAGGGAGGGGGATTTGACAAGGGAGCTGGAAAGACAAGGGGGAGAGGGAAGGGGTTTTGACGCCTGAGTTGTCGCCTCAGGGGAGTTGGAGGGGAGAGTTTTTGGGGAGTGGGAGGAGGGAAGGGTGGGACGGGCTGGTGGGGGAGGGGTAGGTACGAGGATGAGAGGGGGAGTGAGGAGGGAAGTGAGAGGAGGAGTGAGGAGGGAAGTGAGAGGGGGAGTGAGGGGTCTAGGGGTGAAGAAGAGGAGAGGGAGAGGCAGTGGGAGAGTCTGAGGGACGGGGAAGAGGAGGGGAGTGTGAGAGACGAGGATGAGGAGATGGAAAGAGGGGAGAGTGAGGGGGAACGTGAGGGAGAGAGTGCGGAGGAAGAGAGGGAGAGACAATGGGCCGAGATGCATGCTGGTAGTGAGGAAGGGAGTGAGGATGGAAGTTGACGGTAGGATGGAGAGCGAAGATGAAGAAGTGGAAGAATGAGAGGTGACGGGGGCGAGGGAGTAAACAGAGAAGGGTTTGGGAAGACGAAGAGGAGGAGCAGGAGGAGGAGGAGGAACAGGAGGAGCAGTAGCAGGAGAAGGGATAATATTAGGAGGAACGTTTGAGTGAGGGCGAGTTGAGGGAAGAGGCAACGGGGGACGAGGATGGGGACAGGTCAAGGGCTCAAAGGGACAGGTGGTGATATTGGAAGTGAGAGACGCCCAAGGCAGAAAAGTTGAAGTGCAGTGAGTGAGTCCCTAAACCTGGATGAGGTTGGTGAGCGGTGAGCCCCCACGGGGGAGCAGTCACATGTTTCTGGAAGTCATCAAGGGCAGGGCAGTTCAAGTAAAGTGAAGTGAGGGAGTGGTCGCACCTTGACGATGTTGGTGAGTAGGTCGTATGGCTCAAAGCGGAATGGCTGTGGGGCGAAGAAGCCTGCAAACACCTGCCGTAGTACCAGTGGGGAGGGAGAGGGGGGAGAGAGAGGAGAGAGAGAGAGAGAGAGAGAGAGAGAGAGAGAGAGAGAGAGAGAGAGAGAGAGAGAGAGAGAGAGAGAGAGAGAGAGAGAGAGAGAGAGAGAGAGAGAGAGAGAGAAAGAGTGGCTGGGTTGAGTAATAGCAAGGAAAGGGTGAGGTCACCGCTGAGCGCATAGCGCTGGCCGCGAGAGAGGCGCAATGCGCCCAGCAGCAAGGATTCCGCGGGGCGAATAGCGCTGGAGTGAGAGGCGCAATGCGCCCAGCGGTGAGCAATCCGCTAAGCGCATTGCTGGCCGCAAGAGAGGCGCAATGCGCCTAGCGGTGAGCAATCCGCTGAGCGCATTACTGGCCGCAAGAGAGGCGCAATGCGCCCACCGGTGAGCAATCCGCTGAGCGCATTGCCAGGGCGAGAGAGGCGCAATGCGCCCAGCGGTGAGCAATCCGCTGAGCGCATTGCTGGCCGCGAGAGAGGCGCAATGCGCCCAGCGGTGAGCGATCCGCTGAGCGCATTGCTGGCCGCGAGAGAGGCGCAATGCGCCCAGCAATGAGCGATCCGCTGAGCGCATTGCTGGCCGCCAGAGAGGCGCAATGCGCCCAGCGGTGAGCGATCCGCTGAGCGCATTGCTGGCCGCGAGAGAGGCACAATGCGCCCAGCGGTGAGCGATCCGCTGAGCGCATTGCTGGCCGCGAGAGAGGCGCAATGCGCCCAGCGGTGAGCGATCCGCTGAGCGCATTGCTGGCCGCAAGAGAGGCGCAATGCGCCCAGCGGTGAGTGATCCGCTGAGCGCATTGCTGGCCGCGAGAGAGGCGCAATGCGCCCAGCGGTGAGCAATCCGCTGAGCGCATTGGTGGCCGCGAGAGAGGCGCAATGCGCCCAGCGGTGAGCAATCCGCTGAGCGCATTGGTGGCCGCGAGAGAGGTGCAATGCGCCCATCGGTGAGCAATCCGTTGAGCGCATTGCTGGCCGCGAGAGAGGCGCAATGCGCCCAGCGGTGAGAAATCCGCTGAGCGCATTGCTGGCCGCGAGAGAGGCGGAATGCGCATAGCTTGGCGCATAGCGCTGGCCGCGAGATGCGCGCTATGCGCCCAGCGGTGAGCATTCCGCTGGGCGCATAGCGCTGGCCGTGAGATGCGCGCTATGCGCCCAGCGGCGAGCATTCCGCTGGCGCATAGCGCTGGCCGCGAGATGCACGCTATGCGCCCAGCGGCGAGCATTCCGCTGGGCGCATAGCGCTGGCCGCGAGACAGGCGCTATGTGCCCAGCGGCAATCATTCAGAATTTCGAAGAATGGATAGATTCGAGTAGGTTCAGCATATAGGGAAGAGAAAGGGAGAGAGACGCACCTCTGATACGGATCAGCTGTAATTCGAGCTTCCGTGAATTTGATGGGGGGTAATAAGTCTGCTAAGAAGTCCTTACTAAGTTAGTGTCGAGAGTGATAGGGCTAGAGCCAAAAGTGTGCAAACAAATATATATATATAAGGTACAAGCAAGCAACAGACAAAGAGCACCCTACAGCATTCAACTAGACCCAGTCTCAACGAGGCCTAACTGCAGACAAAACCGACGGTGGTCACAAGGCTGGAGGGCCTTGGTGAAGATGTCTGCAGTGTTGGCCTCGGAGGCCACAAAGTCCAGACGAGCCTGTCCGCGTCTCTGCAACTCTCGAAGGAGGAAGTACCTGACGTCGATGTGCTTCACTCGGCTCTCCAGTCGAGGCTCATGACACAGGAGAATCATCGCCCTGTTGTCAGCAAACAGGGTCGGTGCAGAGCTCGGCCGCTCACCAAGGTCAGTGAGCAAAAAGGTCAACCAGCGTAGCTCCTGAGCAGCAAGGGCCCCAGCGTAGATCTCGGCCTCTGCGGTAGAAGTCGCAACAGAGGAGGACCGAGTAGACCTCCACGAAACAGCTCCAGAACCCAGGCTGAAACAGTAACCCTGCGTAGACCTCTGAGTCTCAACATCGTCAGCGTAGGAAGAGTCACAGTGACCGGTGAGTACAACTGGCTGTGTCCCTCCAAGTACAAGCCCCATGCCTGATGTCGCGCCAAGGTACTTCGCCACCCTCTTAGCCGCCGCCCAGTGAACAGGACGGTGTCTCCCAGTCGCAACAAAGCGAGACAGGATGCTAAGGGGGAAGGCGAGGTCCGGGCGAGTGCACGTCATCAGGTACATGAGGCAGCCCACCAGCTCTGCGTAGGGACCACTGGGCTCGAACGGCTCGTCAGGAAAAGGCCCAGTGAGTCTGTGGTCTACAGCAAGAGGAGTGGGGGCAGGAGAAGAGTCCTGAAGCCCGAACCGCTCAAGAACCTGCTGCACCATGTGTGACTGAGTGAGAGTGATGGTGCGAGCGGCTCTGTCCCTGGAGATCTGCAGGCCAAGGTAGCGGCGCAGTTCCCCAAGGTCAGTGTAGGTGTGTCTCTTCTGCAGTTCGGACTTCACCTCCGCCAGTGCAGCTGTGTCGGCCGTGGCAAAAACCAAGTCGTCAACGTAGACTAGGACGAAGAAAGGTGTACGGCCACGACGAACAAACAGCGACGGGTCGGCGGAAGACGGCTCAAACGCGAGGTCGGAGAGAGTAGAGCGGAGAGTGTCGTGCCACTCACGGGGTGCCTGGCGGAGACCGTAGACCGGTCGTCTGAGGCTCCACTGGGTCCCAGGCGGGAAAGTGCCAGTGAAGCCCGGAGGACAACGCAGCCAGATCTCCTCGTGTAAGCAGCCCTGGAGGAAGGCAGTGGAGAAGTCAAGAGAGTGTAGCTCGTAGTCTCTCTGCGCTGCTACGTGCAGTAACACCCGAAGAGTGGTCATCTTCGAGGTGGGCGCGAAGGTCTGAAAGAAGTCAACCCCCTCGCGCTGACTGAACCCTCTAGCCACGTAGCGTGCCTTGAAGACTGGGGGAGATCCCGGCGGCCGCTTCACCTTGAAGATCCACATGCCGTCAACAATGTTCGCCCCTGGGGGGGGAACCTCGTCAACGTAAGTGCCTGTGGACCTGTAGGAGGCCATCTCTGCGTCCATGGCAGCTCTCCACTAAGAGGCCCAAGGCCCTGACACTGCCTCAGCGTAAGTGCGAGGAGTAGGTATGTCAGGAGCGTCGGGGTCTCCCTCAGGAGTGAGCAGCATGGCACAGAGATGAGGCGAAGCAGCTGCCAGGAACTCTAGCTCAAACTGTCTGTCCTCTAGGACGTCACAGCCAAGGGCACACACACCCCCGGCGGACAGAGGACGGACAGGAGGTGCTGCCACAACTCGAGTGGCGTAGTCAAGGCGACGCGTAGCAGTAAAGTCAGTGACAGCGGCAGTGAGGACCGCGACGGAGGAAGGAGAGGCACGAGGGTCTGTAACAAGAGAGGCGAGAACACGAGAGAGAGTGGGGCGGTACGTGCGGTAGTAGTCAGTGACCGGAGTGGACAGGGAGGCAGTGAGGGAAGACTCAGGAGGACGAGGAAGGACAGACGGAGGAGAACGAGGAGGACGAGGACGAAACAACACGGTACGGAGGTCAGTGACAGGGGACGAGGGACGAGCACAAGGAGGGCGAGAGGCCCAAGTGTGGGCGAGAGGAGGGGGGGACGGAGGAGACTGAGAACGAGGGAAGACAGCCGGAGTGGAGTCCGGAGGAGGAAACGTGGGACCGAACACAGGAGGAGAGGAGGGGAGACCAAGGGCCCGAAGGCCAGAAACAGGGGCCGGAGGCTGCTCCGGCAGCTGCGGCGGCTGCTGCTGCTGCTGCTGCTGCTGTGGCTGTGGCTGCGGCTGCTGCTGCTGCTGCTGCTGCTGCTGCTGAAACTCCAACCGCTCACGCTCCACCCGCTGCTGAACCTCCGACCTCTCATGCTCCAAACGCTGCTGCTCCTCACGCTCTAGACGATGAAGGGCCTGGTAACGAGTCGGGTAGGGGTGAGGAGGAGGAGTGGTGTCAGGAGAAGACAAAGAAGAACCGGCTCCACCCTCGACAGGACCCGGCTGAGCACCCCCAGAGCGAGGACCCCCTACGGCAGCACGACCAGTACCTGTAGGAGGTGTACCCGCACCCCCAGTCGTGGCGCCGCCAGTGGCACCAGCACCAGCCCCAGACTCTCAAGCTCCAGAAACACCACCAGCTCCAGCACCACCACCGACTCCAACACGCTCGGGACGTGCAGCTGCGGCAGGTGCACGCTCAGCTCCAACTCCAACACCCCCAGAACCAGCACCGCCAGAGCCCTCACCTCGAGCACCAACACCCTCAGAGTCCGCAGTGGCCGGGAGAGGAAGCGCCGACGGCTGCTGCGGAGGCTGTGAGGACGACTGTGGGGAAGGAGGAGAGACCTGGGGGGGGACCGAGGGAGGGGGGGTAGCCTGCGACACACCTGACGGAGCGGGAACCGGGGGGGGTACCGGAGGAGAGGGAGCGGGAGGAGGAGGAGCTGGGGCGAGGAAGAGGGGAGGGGGGGGAACCGGGAGACCTCGACAGGGGTACCAGACGTAGTAGGGGACGGACTCGTCGAAACTGACGTCACGAGAGTCAAAGAACCGGTGGGAGGGAGGGTGGTAAAAGGTGAAGTCAGAGGAGGCCTCAGGGAAACCAAGGAAGACACAGGGGACGCCGCGAGGTGAGAGCTTGTCCGCAGAGGTGTCGCGGACAAGCGCCAAGCAGCCCCAAACACTAAACCTCGACGCAACACCAGGGGACCCTGTCCAAAGACTGGTCGGTGAAGCCTCTGGCCGAGAGACGCGAGGCCAGAGGTTCAGCTGGTGAGCGGCGTACCGAGCCGCGTAGGGCCACAGAAAATGGGGCGCGCGGGCGTGGATCATGGAGGTGCGGGCAATCTCCATGACCAGGCCTAGCCGGCGCTCAGCAACCTCATTCTGCTGTGGAGAGTCTGGAAGAGTCCAGGACTGGGTGATGCCCTGCTCAGCACAGAATCTGGCGAGAATGCTGGAGCGAAACTCACCCCCACGGTCGGAGTGGAGACAACTGACACGACGACGACGAGTACTCTCGGTGGCGAGCAGCCACCGGATCAGCGTAGAAGTCACGTCGGACTTCTTTGCCAAAGGGAACACGGTGGTGTACCGAGAGTAGTCGTCAACGACCACTAGGAAGAAGCTCTCTCGCTCAGGTCCAAGCCGGGGAGCGGGGCCCCAGACGTCTAAGTGGAGTGTCTCAAAGGGCTCGGAGGCTGGGCGAAGGGAGGAGGAGTGAGGAGTGGCGCGCAGCCGACCCTGGACACAAGGACCGCACGGAGGAGCGGGGGACGGCGGGAGCGGCGGGAGGTCGCGGGGGAGGCCTAAGACAAGACGCTGACTGGACATAGCGCGGAGACGAGGGAGGGACGGGTGACCAAGGCGGTGGTGCCAGAGGAGGGCAGGGTGGGACAGCGACCGGCACGAGCACGACGCAGCCACTAGACCTGGCACAGCTACCTGACTGGACCTGGCTACCTGGTGGGACGGGGGAACCGGACGGGTGTCGGTGTGGAGGGTGCACAGACCAGAGCCCGGCTCCTGACGAAAAGTGGCCAGAGGGGCGTACGTGTCACCGTCCACACAGACTGTAGTGTCACCCGAAGGCTCAAACCAGACCCCGACGTGCTGTCTCGCCAGAGGAGCCACACCAACCAGGTTCCTAGAGAAAGTAGGAACGTGGAGGCCGGTCAGAGAACCGGAAGGGGCAGCTGGGCACGGGAGGGTAGTGGCGTGAGTCGCAATGACCGGTCCCGAAGAGGGATCGGCCAGTGCTACAAAAACCGGCGCCGAGAGTGGAGTAAGAGTCGTGCTGTCGCGGAAGAAGCACTGCGTCGCTCCGGAGTCCAGTGTGAAGGAGAGCGACGCGTCCGCCGAGGGAGCACCTGTACAAGTAGCTAGACAGGATCCTACACCAGCACCTACTCTAGCAACAGGCAAAGATCCTACGCTAGGTACAGGCAAGTAAACAGATCCGACAGCACTATAGTCAACATCAGCATACATGGCATAAGACCTAGCATCATCCATAGACATATCAAACACAGCAACACCACGAGCAAGGAGTGGTCCCCAGCGCGGTGGCGGGGGAGCGGAGGGACCGTGGTGCAGGACGTACAGGTCGTCAAGACGGCTGAAGCAGCGTGCAGCAGAGTGGTCAGGGCGGCCGCAGTACGTGCCCCTGCGCGGACCCGTCAGGATCCAGTACTCACAGGGACCAACGTCGCGGCCGGCCGAGCGGGGTCCCCGACTAGAAGGGGCACCA